GTAAGTCTATTCATGATGAAATGTCAAAGCATACTGAGCATCTTTCTCTTTGACACCATGTCTGAAATCCCACGTGATCTGTCAAATACTAATGCATGAAAATCCTAACCTCAAAAAAATCACCCTTTACTTGCTTTCATTCAAAAACCTTATTTATGTTTAAAGAAATCTTTTTAATTACATACATTGTGTATGAAAAGTCGTTTTAATTTATTAGGAAAAACTAATTCTTAATATCCTCTGACGAGTAGTTTTGTGAATTTACTACATATATATCGTATAGTTGACTTAAAAGGAATTTGCTTAAGTTGGCTTAAATTTTAAGCTTTCCAGTTTTAATTCCGAAGTGCGGAATCGAGGACTATGGCGCAGGAAATCTTCATCTATTATAACATTTTATATGATGAAAAAACCGAACTCGTGGCCCTTGGTAAAAAAAGTTTAGCGTTTCAAATTCTATAAGATCCACCTACCAAAGTCTATTAACTTGCATTACTTGTTTATAATTTATTCATCTCTGAGTTGTAAGCACCAGGATATGGACAAGAGTGAACTTTCGCTTTAACTGGGACGATTACTCCCAAGTCACTTAACAGAAAAGCAATCGAAATTATCCATTAAAGCGCTTAACTCAGCTAACAGCTCCGCCGAGCACAATTGCCACAAACTTTAGCCACTTTACAGGAAATGTGAAGAATTTATGACCTCTACCACCATCACGCTTCATACCTCCATTAAATGCATACATGGGCGCTGGATTTAAACGCGCACACACTCATTCACTCACAAATAGCCAACGAATTTCTTTGACTCCATTTACGTAAGTCATCAGCGCACTACTACACTAATACTCACCGCTATTTTGGTGGACGTTGGGCTCACTGCTGTTGCTACATTAACCGCAGCAGATGGCGATGGCGTTGAGGAGGCGAACGCATCAGCTGCATTCATTTTTAATGACTTCTCGTTGTCGGCAACAATGCTGTCACTTTGCTGTCGTTGTCGTTGTCGTTGCTGTTCCTGTTGCACTGGCTGTTGTTGTAACTGCACGTGTCCGGGCGCTTGTACGCCAGCACCAACGCCTCCTGTAATATCAACATTCGCACGAGTGCCTGCAGCTGCTGTCGCAGCTGTACCTAAATCTGTGTTTCCTACAGCCAGGCCATCGGTTGCTTCCTTCATTGTTGTTGCTGTAGCAATCATTGTTGCCATGACGGCGCTTGTTGTCGCTGTCATTTTCGGTTTCTTTGTGGGTGGCTCAGGCAGAATGTCGCTGTCTATCTCCGTATCATCGTAGACATTTTCATTACCGCCCACCAGTCCCCAGTCGGCGTTGAAGCCCATGTAGCCGTTGTCGCTGTTGTCGCTGCCGACATACAATGACGGCGATGAGGCATATGCACTCGCTCCTACTGATTTTGCCTCAAAAATATCGTGTTGATACAGTGTTGGCTGATGGGTGTTGCTTTTCCAAGCGCTGCGGTGCCCATGTTGTTGCAATTGTTGTTTGCGTTTTTGTTGTTGCTCCTGCTGATGTTGTATTTGTAGTTGGAGCTTCTTTTGCTGATGCTTCAAATGCTGCTGATGATGTTGATGTTGGTGATGCTGATGCTCTTCGGTACGATAGTCGTGATACAACACCGATGGCAAATTCTCTGGGAAACTCAGAATTTTGCTAGCCGACACTGGCGACGATGGGTGGTAAGTGTAGTAAGGCGTGTTTTCAGCTGCTGCTGCGTTGGTATGTGTGTGCTTGTGTTGATGTTGTTTTTGTTGTTCGTGCTTTTGTTTTTGTTGCTGTTGATAGGTTTTCTTCTTTTGCCATGATTTCGTGGTATGCTGCAACGATTTGGTACCACCGATGGAGGCAGTAGCTGCGGGGGTTTCCTGCACTTGTTGTTGGTAATTTTTGTTGTTGTCGTGTTTCGATGAACTTACATCTAGGTTAGTGGCATAGGACTGTGACTGTTGGTACTGTTGTTGCTGTTGCATCATGCCTACGGTGGGATGTGCTGTCGTGCCTGAAGTGCTGCTCATTTCATTCAATCTGGCAGTTGAAGTGTCTAACTGTGAGTTTGAACGATAGTCGCTTTTGATTTGATTTGTAGGCTTTTTGGCTGAAAGTGAGAGAAGAAAAGAAGAAAGAATAATAAAGATGTATCTCCTTTGTTTTAGAACAATATTCGTACATTAAATTATAAATTCCGTAAAGTGGAAATATGTATTCAATTCGTATTACACTTCTGCAAGAAATATATGTGAGGCTTCAAATAAATAGTTGCGCGGGATGAGACTTTTACCAAAATGTCCAGAAAATTACGCTAAACAACTTGTCTAAAGTAGGAGTCAAGATATTTCGCTAATATTATTAATTAATGAAAAACAGCTGAAAGTTTTGAACTTACCGCCAAAATACGCGCAGAACTAATTTTAAATGAATCTATTAAGAAAATAAAAGTATCAGAACATGGAGCAGAAAATTCTCTACAAAATACATATATACATACATATGTATATATGGGAAGGTATATTACTTTCGTTCAATGAGCGGCTCTAGGAGACTCCACTGTCGAAAAATGAAAAAAATGTCACAAATTTTTCATTAATCTGCGTTCAGACACGGAAACTCGTGTTGCTTATTATTGGCGATTTCTCTTTTGGTGTTGCCTTTTGCATTCACACACAGCAACTCTTCTGTACGCAATTGTTGTTGTCAGCTGTGAACAGCGTTGCCAGGTTGACGTTTTTAACGTCATTTGGACCCTTTTTTGTATCCTGTTGACTTTTGAACGTTTTTTGTGTAAAAAATTACGTTTTTTCACTTTCCAGTAATTTTTCTCCGTTACTAAATCTTGTAAGTAGAACTGTTTTTGAATTATTTTCTTAGTAAATCTTTACAAGCTTTGTGTTTTGCAGCAGCTGCTTCAAAAGATATTTATTCTTTGGACACAGATGACTTAAATATGATGCAAACCAAGTGTACGCTCACGTTTTTTTGGATTCTTGGACAAAAGCTGGTTGTGTAAACACTTGAGGTCACGAGACATCAGGAAGAGCTGATCTATTGCAACACGCATGCTCGCAAAAGCAACAAAAAAGCTGTAGCAGCATAAAAAGTCAGAAAAAANTAAATCTTTACAAGCTTTGTGTTTTGCAGCAGCTGCTTCAAAAGATATTTATTCTTTGGACACAGATGACTTAAATATGATGCAAACCAAGTGTACGCGCATTTTTTTTGGATTCTTGGACAAAAGCTGGTTGTGTAAACACTTGAGGTCACGAGACATCAGGAAGAGCTGATCTATTGCAACACGCACGCTCGCAAAAGCAACAAAAAAGCTGTAGCAGCATAAAAAGTCAGAAAAAAGTAGGCGACTTTTTTAAGACTTCATTGAAAATGTAATGAACGCAAAAAGGGCTGAAATATTGCTATGCTCCTTCTTAGCAGAACGTAATTTAGCATTTTCGACAACCGACCCCCTAACCAAATGTCTATAAGAAAAACAATTATTAAAAATCAACGCGATTATGTAGCCCCTTTAAACTTGCACATTATTCCAGGAAATTTAATGGGCTAACAAACTGCATACTCAAAAAAAATTAAAAAAAATCTGAATAAAAAGTTGAAAATATAGCTGAAACTTTGCAGATTTTTTATAATTTTTGCACAAAGTTTTAAATGGGGATTTATATTTTGTTTGTTATATAATGAGCTTGGCTTTTATGGAAAAATAATAAACATTAAATAAACAAAAGAACAACAGCCAAAATCGATCAAAATATTGATGACTTAATCAGCTGATCACAAGTGTATGTATAACATCATTTCTATATTAACGATCTCAAACCAGTTTAAAATGAATTCTAAATGTGCTCTGTCGAAATGACATTTTTATACCTTACGTACATATCGAGCCCTAACCGCCAAAATAACGTAAGCGACATTTTTTCAAAATTTTCGTTTTTATGCAGAAATATTCCTAAAGCATCTAGATGTATTTCTGCATCAAAAAGAAAATTTTGAAAAAAATGTCGCTTACGTTATTTTGGCGGTTAGGGCTCGATATGTACCTTTGTATACAATAAAGGTTTAATAAGAACAATTTTTTGTACATTCATTTGAAAATGACGTTTTTGGGTAGGAAATGACGTTTTTTCAGACCAAGAGGGACGTTTTCTCATGCCGAAGACCTGGCAACACTGGCTGTGAACATCCAACTTGAATTACTCAGAAGAACGAGAGCACAAAGCGTGTTGCCCGAGTACGAACAACTTGGTACCCGTCCCCTTTCCTCGTCGCTCTCTTCCCTACAAGCTTCGAGTTGAGTTGTTAAGTCGTGTCTGAACTTCGACTTAACATGCAAAATAATGACGCTAGAAGAAAAATCTTAAACAGGAAATGTAGATTTTTTTCGGCCTACAATAAAGTATTCAGGAGTCCTTTCGAAGAAATTACCGGTATTGATGTAAAATTCGAAAAACGTGTACACTATTCTTTCCAGGATGGCCTGCATCTATTTTTAAAATCTCTTTAACGTACTCAACAATAACACTGGACCACAAATTTCAACTTTTTCTCTTTACCAGAAGCGCCGTTATGAAATTCTTATGTAAAATCATCCCCTGATTCCGAAAATCAAGGTTATTTTTAATTCTATGGTACCGTTTTTGAGATATTTGCAATTTANAAAAAAAAAAAAAATTGGGTCCACTTTATCATTTATATCTCAAGAACGAATTAAGCAATTCCAAAACGGTTTGAAGCTTTTAAAAGTTAATAAAATTTTCTATACTTGCATACAAATTTTCTATACTGTGCATACAACACTTTTTGCTAGGCCCTGTAGATTCAAAGATAACG